AAAAAAAGTGCTTATGGTTTCGATGGTAAATTTTATATTTGCCACAATATCACAATTTTTTTTTTCTTGAGATAGGGTGTCACTCTGTCACCCAGTCTGGAGTACAGTGGAGTGATCACAGCTCACTATAACTTTGAACTCCTGGGCTCAAGCAATCCCCATCTTGGCCTACCAGTAGCTGGGACACCCAGCTGTGCACCACCATACTTGGCTACATTTTGAAATTTTTTGTGGAGACAGGGTCTCTATGTTGCCCAGACTGATCTCAAACTCCTGGCCTCAAGTGATCCTCCTATCTCAGCCTCCCAAAGTACTGAGATTACTGGCATGAAAGCCACCATGCCTGGCCTGTTCTGCAGATTTTTATGCCTATGCAAGCTGATGTTCTCAGCTTGATCAACACTAGGCTTGAGAGGAAGAAAAGTGGTGGCTGCCAGTAAGAACTGGAGATGAAGTGCAATGGAGTGAGCTGGCCTGGCTTCTCTCTCCAATTATGCTGCAGAGCCTCTTTGAGCCTTTCCCACTGTATAAATGGGTCATCTTGAGCCTGATGCGGGATGCCAGTGGTCCTTGATCAGTGAGGATTCACAGTGGACTTCCTTCCCTTGCTGGGGCCTGCAGTGTGCAGCTCACAAGCAGTAAGTTGCGTGTGCATGCCACCACTCCCCCTGGGGCCTCAGAAGGCAGCAGTAAGTTCATTCTGAGACAGCCCTTGGGCCTGCCCCTTCCCTGTGCCCACCTTTAGCCTCCCAGGGACAGCTTGGTGGAAACTTTTGGCCCCATTTCGCTAACTTGCCACAAAACCAGCTGGTGGCTTCAATCTTTCTGCCCCTGTGTGCTCTGGTCATTTCTAGCTACACCTGGGAAGGCAGTGTCCTCCTTCTGACAGCAGTATAGGACACGGGGAAACAAAGAGGCATCAGACAAAAACAGAGAAGGATAAAGAGCATCCCTAACCTCTACCCTGGAGAGGGAGCCTGGAAAGGCTATGGAAGGGGTGGCTCTGAGCCTCAAGTGACTTTGCAAAACAGAGCAAACAAGGAAATGCCCTCCCAGGGCGAACCCTTATAAAGTGTCTCAGCAAAAGGGTCAGCTACTAAAGCTATCTGGAGTGGGACCCCCAGCTAGGAGACACTGACTCTACCCACCACTAGCAACACAGCCTCTGTGCAGGGATGTCCTCAGGGAAGGTCTGGCCACCCAAGCCCTTGCGCCCCTTCTCCTCGGTCCTGGCTCTTGGCAGGACTTTCTGCAGCCAGATAGCAGATGCTGAGCTAGACCCAACCCAAAGAGTAAGGGTGTGCCTTCCCTCCCTGGCCAGGAAAACATTTCTATAGCCCTTGCAGACCCACTGGACAGAAAAGAGAGGAAGAGGCGTGCTCGTGTTCCCCTTGGTTGTGTTTTAACTTCTAAAATATTCTTTCTTTTTTCTATGAACATTTTAATGAGAGTCTGAACATAAGATAGAAAAATAACATTCTGATTGCTTTTTTTTAAGATGCAGACTTTTCTTGAGACTTTCACACAAGGCAATGAATGAATAACATTTAACTCCTGAAGAAACACACATTGGCCACAGAAAAAGGCACATCTCCAGATACCTATCATAGTCATCAACAGCTCCTAAATGGCCTTGTCAAACTCTCAGGGATTGGCTTACTGTTTTCTTTGGGATCAATTCAACTCACACATAAACCCTGCTGCTTTCAGAGGCTTGGGTGCTTGGGTACTGGCATCAGTCTAACAATGCACTCAGAGCAAATGCTGCTTTCAAGGGACAGGAGGGGTATTTGTGTGAGGGTCCACATACTTGCTTCTCTGGCTTGGTGTGGGCAGCCAGAGGCCACTACATCTGCAGGGAGCCTTGTTCACTCTCCATGGAGGGACATGTGATCCAGCAAATAGGCTGGAACCAGCCCCCTGTGGCCACCTGACTCTCCATAATAGAATCCCTTGTCATCTACAGGCCCATAGACCGTGACCACATCCCCTGCCTTCACCGCCAGCTTGCCCTTTGCCCGGGTCCCTGCTCCCCCAGCCCTGGGATCATAGTCCAGAGCCGCCATCATGGTCTTTGGAGTCCACAGTGGGGCTCTCCTAGAGTTTCCTTGGGGAATGGGGGAGGAGTCCTGGGGGCTGGTGAGCCCCCCAGAGTCGTCGAGGGGGGCCACAGAGGGTTGGTGCCCTTGTGCCCACACATGCCACCTCTCATCAGTCCACTCCATACCCTCCTCCACCTCAGCCACGAGGTGTCCAGGGATGGTGCCCATTTGCCCATTGCACTCGCCATGATAGAAACCAAGGGGGTCCCGAGAGCCCCACACTCTCAGCAACTGCCCTCTCTGGAAGGCCAGCTCTTCCTGCACACCCTCGGGGTTGGCAGACATCATCAGGGGGTTATAATCAAAAAGGGCCATGAAGACCCTGGCTGGAGGCTCGGCCCCCACCCCTGACTGGAGGGGGCCAGCCCTGGACATCATAATGACTTGGCGGGAGGGAGCTGGATACGGTGCCAAGCTGAGTTTGTGGAGCTGGCACTCTCGCTTGCTCCCCAGAGCCTGTCCTCGCCTGCTCTGGGGCCCAAGCTCCTTCCTCTGCTCTCGCTCCTCTGGAGGCCACAGATCCAAACACACTGCCTCCTCCTCCAAAATGGTACAGAAGTCAGATGCATACTGCTGGCTGGTGCCCAGCTGGGGAGGTGTGAACACCTGGGTATCCTGCTTTTGTCTAAAGGCCTTCTCGAGGGCAGGCTTTTCCTGACATGGTTCTTTCCAGGGCCCACACTCAGGAGACAGATGGACGAATCCCGGAGCAAGGCTTTTTCTGGTGCCCATGTGCCTGTAGCAGTTTTCTCTCCCACGAGGCTGGACATTGAGCAAAGGTGGCCTGTGATTCTGGCGAGCTTTTTGAAAGAGCAGGTCTTTTTGGCAGCCCTCTCGGGCCTCTACAAGCCCCTGGGCTTGGATGCCAGCCCCTGAACTGGGACATTGTCCTTCTGAGCTAAAGTTGGACATTAGAGACTGCCTCCTCAGGGATTCTTCAGAAAATGCTTCTAGGAACTTGGTCTGGGGCTCCCCATAGCTTCCAGGGATGTAAGGGCTGGCCTTGGCACTCAGAGGAGTCAGTGCCAGCTTCTGAGGGCAGATGGGGAAAGTGACTCTGCAGCTGACTGGGTTGCCACAAGCGTAGCTAAAGGGAGGGGTCTCCAGTGATTGGTGACAGGGGAAGCAGTCCTCAGGGATCTGAGCTGGCACTGAATCCAGGGACTCACCACATAGTGACATGGTTCTCACTGAGACATTCTGGCACATCAGGGGCACCTGCAGCTGAGAAAATTCCAACAGAGTGCTCCCAGCGGTGGCATCAGCCACCTCTGACACCTTTAACCCATCAGCGTACACAGCATAGCCAGTGACCTGGACTCCATTGGAGGACCCAGCTGAATCGATTGTCACAGGGAGCCAGCTGACCATCAGGAAACCTGGCAAGGTGTGTCGCTCTACCAGGACGTCCAGAGGAGGGTCGGGAGGTCCTGCCAAAGGTGTGTCGAAGGTGATGGTGGAGGACACTGTTTCCCAGTGCACCTGCAGCAGGTCCCAGGGCAGCTGCACTTCCACCCGCGTGTGGTACTTCGTGCCAGGATGTAGGCCATGGAAGGTGTAGCAGCTCACACCCGCAGGGGTCAGGGCGTGCTCTTGATCATCAAGGTACACCACGTGGGGGTGGCTGCTACTGCTATAGACCCAGTTGATCCTGGCTGATGTGGCTGTGACATTGTGCAGGTGTAGTTGCATGGGGGCCACACAGAGCAATCCATTGGCCCCTAGAAAGGGTCTGGAGAAGCCCTGTTCCTGGGTACTGTGTGGCAAGCCCAGCTGGTAGGCTTCTGTCTTTGTATGCAAGATGTCTGTGGCCACCTCTGCTATGGAGCCCAAGCCCATCTGGCTTGGCCCTCTGCCCACCACTCCCTGGGCTTCCCCAGGTAATAAGCTGTCTTCCTTTGCAGCTTTGTCCTGCCCAGCTGGGATGGGAGAGTGACCAAGGTCAGGGGACTTGGGAGGCAGGTAGCCTGGGATGTTGTTGTCTGGAACCTGCTCCACCAAGTTGGAGGGCACCAGACCCCGCCGGCCATCCTCAAGTTCCCCCTCATAGAAGCCATCCTCATCCATGTCCCCAAAGATATATACATAGTCCCCAGCTGTGAGGGGTAGCTCACCTTCAGGGTGCTCATTGGGCCCCTCAAATGGGTTATAGTTATATTGAGCCAGGAAAATCTTCAGCTTGGCAGCAGCAGGAGCATCTGAGCCTCCCACTTCTGGGGTCAGGGACATGCTGTCAGGCTCTAGATCATCCACCTCACTGGCCGTGTCCACATCCAGAGTAGTGCAAGATGGCACGGTGGCCCAGATGGACTCCACCTCGGAGGAGGAGTTTGACTGGGAGCTGGTTTTCTTGGCCTGAGGCCTGGAGTCCAGAGGTGGGCTTGCAATGACTCTGTCTGGCATATGGGGGGCACTGGTTGGCTCCCCAAGGGCAACTGGGCTCACATCCGGGGAGGCTTCCCTTATCTCTTGTTGGTCTCTGCTGGGCTGTGACAATGTGTGATCTTCAGGTCCTGGCTGGAACTTGGGCCTTCTGCTATTCCTAGTTTGGGTCTCCAGGGTTTGGGTGGCTTCCCCAGGCTGTTCTGCAGGGTGGTTGGACTGACACTGAAGTGCCTGTATCTCCTTCCGGGCAGCTTGGAGATCACATAGAGCTTTCTGGAGGTCGTGCTCCAGCTGCTGCTGCCTGTCCTGTCCACTGGCTGCCTGCTGGAGCAGTTGCTCAGCCAACAGGCCGGCGGCGTCGCGCTCCTGACACGCACGGCCTAACTGCCCCCGTACGTCGCTGTTCTCAGCTTCCACCTTCTGCACCCAGTTGGCCTGGGCTTGGAGTCGCCCATTCTCCTCCGCCAGCCAGGCGCCCTTGCGCAGCGCCACTTGCAGCTGCGCCTCTGCCTCCTCGCCGCGCCGGTGCGCCGCCGCCGCCTGCGCGCCCAGCTCCTCACACTCGCGCTGCCGCGCCCCCAGCTCGCGCTCCAGCGCCTGCACTTGGCGACGCGCCTCCTCGCAGGGAGCGCTCTGGACTCCTTCCTCTGCCCGGGCGCCACCACAGCCCTGCCGCAGTGTCAATTGCCTCTGCAGACGCAGCACTTCCCGCTGGGACTCGCGCTGCAGCCGGTCTAAGTCGCTGACTTTGAGCCACTGGGCGGAGGGGGAACCCTCTCCAGAATTTAGGTTACTGTCGAGGCCAGAGGCTACACGCGCCTGCAGCAGGTGGCACTCCTGCCTCAGCTCTTCGATCTGCTTGTCCTTGGTGAGCAGAGCGTTCGCCTGCTCAGACAAGTCCTGAGCCCGCTGGTGGGCAAAGGCCTGGCAAAGCTCCAGGATAGAGCGACTCTCACAGGGCACAGGCGCGCTCACCGCCCGGAGGTTGGTCTCCTGCAGCATGCGGGCCCGGTCCTCCAGGCGCCGCGCGAGGCCTGCCAGTTCTGCGTGCTTCACCTTAAGCCGCTTTACCTTCTCGTCTGAGCGGTCGGGGAAGCCTGCACGCCGCAGCTGCAAGTTCTCTTCGTGCAGGTCAGAGCAGCGACGCGCCAGCACCTGCAACGCCTCGGCCAGCTCTGAGTTCTGCTTCACCAGCTCATGGTAGTCCAGGCCTGAGGACGAGGGGCTCAGGGCTTCGCAGGGCTGACTATTGGGGCCTTCTCCTCCCCGCGGGTCACTAGGTTTCCCGGGTGGAGATGATGGTGGGGGCAAGGTTGGTGGGGGCAGGGGCGGCGGCGAGGAGGGAACAGGGGAGCCAAGAATGGAGGTGTCCGATGATGAGGCCCGCTCATTGTGCACGGAAGCCTTGGGGCGACTTAGGGTGCTGTCGACAGAGCGGGAACGCTCTGGTGCCAAGGAATCGAGGGAGCTGGCACGCATGGAGAGCAGGCCGCTTGTGGAGCTGGAGCACATGGAAGACATCAAGTTGAGGGAGCGGGAACGGGCACGGACGCCGGCACTCAGGCCGTCGAGAGATTCGAGTCGACAGGCCGGCTTCGGGGTGTGAGGAGTGCTCGAGATTTTGAGGAGCGGCTCTTCGGAGGAGTGCACAGCCGGGGCGTCGGCAGGTCCGGACAAAGCGGGGTGCCAGCGGAAGTGCTCCAGGATGTACTTGAGAAAGAGCTGGCGCTGCACGTCCAGCGCCGCCTGCAGGTGGCGGATGCGCGCGGCCTGCTCGCCGTCGGTTTCCCAGCGAAGCTGCGCCAGCACTTCCTGCAAGCGACAGCGACACCGCGCCGCGGAGATTTCGGGCGCCCCTGTGCGGCAGCAGTAGCCGCGGTTCACTAGCTCCTCTGCCAGCTGGCGCTGCAGCTCCCGGGCCTGGCGCACCACGCCGTCGCGCTCGCGGTGCAGCAGCTGCTGCAGCTGCCGCATCTCGGCCTCCTTCCAGCGCAGCAGCTGCCGGATCTCGGCCTCGCGCTCCCGCTGCACTTCCTCCTGCAGCTGCCGCAGCTCCCGGCTGCGCTGTGCCTCCCACTTGGAGCGCAGATGGTCAGCCAGCTGCTGCCGCTCTCGCTCGGCCGCCTCCCGCAGCTGGCGCGTCTGGGCCGCGAAGCGCCGCCGTTCGGCCCGCCCGCGCGCCCGCTCCGCCTCCAGCTCCGCCCGCACCTTCTCCAGCTCCCGCCTTTGCTCCTCCAGCACCGCTGCTGTCTGACTTGGGCTGCTTGGTTTCTTGAGCGGAGCACGGCCACCGCCCGACGGATTGGGGGAGTCCTTGGTCATTGTGGCCGCGGCCCAGCCGGACACCTGACCTCGCTTGGCAGGCCGCAGTTTGCCAACGGCCTCAGCCCCCGGCCGCGGCCAACGGCCCCGCGCGCCCCTTCCGGCGCCCCGGGCGCGGGGGGGGGTGTCTCCGCGCGCTTCTTCCGCCTCTCGGCATGTTCCTCCACCTCCTGGCACGGATGTCTGCCCCACGCGCCTCTCCATCTGGCGCATATCTTTCCTGGAATGCCTGGAGCTCTTTCTACCCCACATTTTTCCTGCTCCTTTCCCTTAGGAGACCCACCTCAGACGCCCTCCCAGGGAGGGTGCAATCCCTTCCAGGCCAAGGTGCCCAGGAAAGCCCAGGCTGCTGCTTCAGGTCCTAGAAAAAAGGCTGGGTTTGTGGTTCAGGCCATGAAGGGGTGTGGGCACACCTGGCCAGACTTTGCTGTGGGTTCAGGTGGTGTGTTTGGTTTCAGTGGCTGGGAAATAGAGAAGAATATATGTAAACTTTGCTAGACTTGGTTTCCCTGGGATCCTATAGATCTCCAAACAGCCCTAATCATCCCAACTTGTCTTCCAATCCTTTGGGGGAAAGGATGTGTCTGATACACATTGGTGTGGCTGGCTAGAGTGTGTTCAGAGGAGGTGTAAGTGAAAAGTCCTTAGGCAAGATGGCATAGGGACTCAGGGCCAGATAGGTAGGAAAGACGCAAGGGGGAAGCCCAACCTGGCCTACTTACCGCCCATGTCTGGATACCACCTGGCAGCAGAAGCTGTAGCCTCAAGGTCTGAGCTGCTCTTTGGGGCCTGGGGCAGAGACCTCAGACTGAGCTGAGAGTGAGGGTCAGATGACAGCAAAAATGTCAGCAGGGTCTCCAGCTGCAGAACACACAGACACATATACATGCACACACACAAGCACATGACTTTCTGACTAAATACCTGTGTGGCTTTGGAGCTCAGGAGCCCTGTTTCTTTCTTTCTTTCTTTTTTTTTTTTTGGAGACAATCTGAAGCTGTCATCCTGGGTAGAGTGTTATGGCATCACAGCTCACAGCAACCTCCAACTCCTGGGCTCAAACAATTCTCCTGCTTTCAGCTTCCTAGTAGCTGGGAATACAAGTGCCCGCCACAATGACGGGCTATGTTTTGCAGCCGCCATTGTTTGGCGGGCAGGGCTGGATTCGAATCTGCCAGCTCAGGTGTAAGTGGCTGGCGCCTAAGCCACTGGAGCCATAGGCTCCGAGCCAGGAGCCCTGTTTCAAACTGGCTCCTCCCTGCCCTTCCTGCCCCTGGCACAAAGTGGGTCATGGGGGATGGTTGGACATGGTACCTGACCATCTGCATCCAGACCTTGACATTGAGGTCACATTAGAGGCCCCTTTGCTTCTCAGTCGGTGGTGTCTGCTAAAGACCTCCCACAGTTGAATAACTCAGCATATGGCCTTATGGCTCCACCCTTTGAACTATATTCAAGTGTTCTGGGCTTTTCTTGAGACAGACTCTTGCTATGTTGCCCTTGGTAGAGTGCTATGGTGTCATAGCTCACAGCAACCTCAAACTCTAGGGCTCAAACGACTCTTTTTTTTTTTTTGAGGCAGAGTTTCACTGTGTTGCCCTTGGTAGAGTGCTGTGGTGTCACACCTCAGCAACCTCAAACTCTTTGGTGTAAGCGATTCTCTTGCCTCAGCCTCCTTAGTAGCTGGGATTATAGGCGACTGCCACAACGCCCATCTATTTTGTTGTTGTTGTTGTTGTTTAGCAGGCCCAGGTTGGATTTGAACCTGGCATGAGCCCTGGTGCATGTGGCCAGCACCCTAACCACGGAGCTACAGGAGCCAAGCCTATACTCAAGTGTTTTTTTTTATTTTTGATACAGAGTCTCACTTTGTTGCCCTCGGTAGAGTGCTGTGGTGTCACAGCTCACAGCAACCTCCAGCTTGTGGGCCCAGGCAATTCTCTTGCCTCAGCCTCTTGAGTAGCTGGGACTACAGCCACCATCCACAATGCCCAGCTATTTTTTTATTGCAGTTTGGCTGAGGCTGGGTTTGAACTCGCCACCTTCGGTATATGGGGCTGGCACCCTACTCACTGAGCCACAGGCACTGCCCTAAACTTTTTTTTTTTTTTTTGAGATAGGAGACTAAAGCTGTCACCCTGGGTAGAGTGCTGTGGCATCACAGCTCACAGCAACCTCTAACTCCTGGGCTCAAGCGAGTCTCCTGCCTCAGTCTCCCGAGTAGCTGGGACCACAGGCACCCGCCACAACGCCTGGCTATATTTTTTGGTTGCAGCCGTCATCGTTGTTTGGAGGGCCCAGGCTGGATTCGAACTCGCCACCTTCGGTGTACGTGGCTGGCACCTTAGCCACTTGAGCCACAGGCACCAAGCCTACTCAAGTGTTTTAAACCAGGTTCCCCTCAACTCATAGGAAATGCCTTTGGGCAGGAGTGTGCGGCAAAAACACTGGAAATTATGGCTCCAGATGTTCTTTTTATTTATTTTAGAGAGAAGTCTTGTTTTTTTGCCCAGGCTGGGTTTGCATTCCTGGGCTAAAGCAATCCTCTGCCTTGGCCTCCTGAGTGTCTGGGACTATAGGTACTTGCCATTGGGCCTGGCTCAAATGATTTTGTTTTCGGTTTTTGGCCGGGGCTGGGTTTGAACCCACCACCTCCGGCATATGGGGCCGGCGCCCCACTCCTTTCAGCCACAGGCACCGTCCCCAAATGATCTTTTTGAGACGTGAGGTGGATGTGGTATGGCAGTGGGCAGATAGGTGAGATGTGGAAACCGCCTTAAGCCTTGAACTGGTGCTCCTGGACATAAACTGCAGGGAGGGCTGTCTTCATGGGCTCCTCATCACAGCCCTGTCTTACAGAGGCTTGGCAGGAACAGGTGGCCTGCCAGAGCACATGGGTAACTGTGGCAGAGCTGGGTTGTCCCTTCAGGATGGCGTGTGAGACTCCACAGCCTGGATCCCTTGCTGCAGCTTCAAGTGGACATTAAACTGTCATGTCAAGTGCCACCAAGGAGGAGGACACTAGCATGAGTCTCTGGGAACCCCATAGTCACCATCCAGCAGCTGCCTGCACTGGCACCCCCATAGCATGCCAAAGGCATTCTAGAATACGGTTAACTGAGCAAAACGGCTTTGCTGGGCTGGGCTTCTGCCATCCCTGTTCTCACTGTGTTGTGTAGTGATTGTTCAGTGACCTGCCTGTCACCCCGAGTGACTCTGAACTCAGGGATAGAAGGGGCTGTACCTTCCTTGTTCCCACTGTGTCCCTGCATGAGATGAGAGCTGGCACATTCCTGGTGCCCAAGACATATGAGAAAAAGTTGCAGGCAAGGGGGCAAGAGTCCCAGCATTAGCTCATTGTGTTGCTATCTCCCCAGGTCTAGCTTTCTCATCTACAAAATGAAACAGATGGGTGGATGAATTACATGGGTGGTTTTCTTTTTTTTTTTTTTT